TGAACCCCAACTGCTCCTCTTTCTTTTGGCTCTCTCGCGCCGAGAAAGATATTGTTTTCTTTTCCGTCTCTAGATATGGCCTTAGCCATTAAATATATCTTATCTATCTGCGTTCTATCAACCGATCCGTCACATTTTAAGGAGATGGCCAACGAGTTTGACATCTTTGAAACAAGTGAATTTCTATCTGTCTTTACAATGCATTTGAGGAATTCGCTGTGTGCGTTTGGTGAAAGGTATTGGAGATCATTAGGCATGTCGTTTATACTCCAATCATCAAAAGAAAACGCATTTGCTATTCGGCTTACAACCACACGTGAAGGGAAAGAATTGGCAGACAAAGTAAGTCTCTTAGCACCATGGTAAACGTGAAAAAATAAGCTAGCAACTTTCGCAGCCAATTGTGCATCTGCGATCGATAATGCCCTTCCAATTGGTGTCAATGACGTCATATGAAGCTTTTCCGGTCCTTTCAAAGACAACAATTTCTTTGTCTTTTTTGCTTCGCGATGAATTTCGCTGTTCAGATGGTCGGAAACGACGCTTTTACGGTATATAGTCCCCGGTTCTTGAGCAATCGCTGGAAGTTTAGCTTTCCTGCTGAAAATCTTGACGACATTGGGGTTCGAAAAGCATGTCTCACAACGCACATAGTGGCGACCATTCTTGTGTAAGTGTTTCAGATTATCCTCTTTTGGCTCTTTAGTGTTTTTCTCTGATGTCTTTGCAGTTTCACTTGGTCCTTGATCCTCATTATTCATTGTTATTAAATGTTAAGTTTATATTCGCGTCGGATGTTTTTTCAATGTTGAAAAAGTTAAAAAGGCGCGAACAATTCTGCGCCTTTGTATTTACGTGTCAGCAGCTTACCACGGGAATCCTGTCTAATCCAATCTAATCACAACCAGCTGTACACATATATCCTATTTATACTTGTAATATCCCATTGATTCCCTCTAAAACAAACATGGCGGTGAAAAGTTGCTCAAGAAAATTAATACAGGATTACAAATCCGAAATATTTAATAAAGCGAACGTAGAATATGTGTATCGGCGTAAAACGAATGGAATTTGAAACAGTGGTGTTCACTGGAATTCAGAAATAACGCTATATTTCCTGCTTGATCGGATAAGGTAGCTGGTGAATTTTTATATAATTATAGTATAATTAACCAGACTGCAGAGTGTGGCAACTGCACACCCGAGAAATTTTTCGTTCAACTGCCGTGTACACTTGGAGTAAAATGAACTCAATTATTTAAACAACGATCGGTTATATAATACAGTAATTCACTACCTTTTTACTACAATTTTTCCTAGTTCCAGGGCACAATGTTTCCTGTCCGTAATCCGTATGAACGTATTTGTTTAATATATTAAATTAAATTAATCAATATTTAATATGAAATATTAACTACAAATTAGTACAAATGTAAGGAACAGTTCAGACAACTTCATATGACTGAAATAGTTATTCAGTTGTCGGTTGACTATTTGTCCTGTTCGTGTAACACATGAGGACAACGAGGTACATGCGAGGATACCCGATCAACTACTTTGCTGACGAAGTATTTGTGGATAGACCGTTGTCTTTCGTCAGTAAAAACAGGATCTCGGTGTCTTGGTAGTTGATGCTCTTCGTTTCCATCTTTGTACATTTTGGCAATTTCCTCAATCGTTGCAGGACAAGCAGCTGGGTGAGGTAAAGTCCAGTCAACAATGGCACGTTGGGCAAGCGATTGGTTGGATTGACCTCCAGACTTCTTGTGGGCACCAATTACGCTGTAGAATCCCTCAACAATTGCTTCACAGCTGCTTCCTGCAAGGCAAACATCAAGGCAGATACACATTTCTTGGCCAAGAGATTCAACCACTTCTTCATTGGTGTAAAAGGCAGAGGTGATGAATTCCTCGTTCACGCGAGCTGTAATTGTCGAGCAAGATGAAAAATGCAACAAAAACCATTGATCCATGACACCAGGCCCATCAACACACTCCATCTTTAACAGTTGACTGTTACTGAATTCTACCACAGCATCGTTGTTTTCATCAAGGAACATCTGGTCTGCACAATGTCCAAGTCCTTGCCAAACCATGGCTCTTAAGGTGTTCTTGAGGTTTCGGTAGACAAGATTGCTGCAATGCGGTAGGAGATTTAGTGTTGCTGACTGTGTAACAAGTTCTCTAACGTATGGCAATTGGCAGACATGCTTGAAAAACACACTAAACTCAAAATTTCCGCTAAGCTCCCACATTTCTCTTTCTTCAAGTTGGATTTTCAAACTTCCATTTTCATACGCGAAAGAGCACAAACCACATACCAACGATTCCAGGTCAAACATTTTCCCCATGTTTCGCACATTCTGACCAACAACGTCGTTGAAGCGTGTTTCCAAACCATTCTTAAGATTTCGACACAAGACGGCAAGATCACTAAGGCATTCATCTGACGTACGAGCGTTCCAATTATAAACTGTTTGCTTTCTTCCACGTTTATCACCTTGGCGTGGTTGCTCACTTATGGTTTCTTGGCCGACAATTAACCATCCTACCAACAGCGGTATATCTTGAAAGGTACCACGCTCTTCTGTATCTTCATCTTCCTCACGGTCTTTAATTGTGTCCCAATGTAGATGCAGTTTGGGAAACAGGTCTTGGCTTGGTCGTTCTACTCTTCCTTCTTCAATGCCTATTATCTCTTCCTTCATTTTCTCTAGAATTCCAGTTACACGCGGAAGCCATTTGACAATCTTCCATGGAGGCAGGTTAAGCGATTGACTTCTCACCATCAGTACGATTGCTGGTTTCATTATATCTAAAGTACCACACAAATCGATGACATAATCTTGACCACGGACTTGATACTTTGCTTCTTCACAGTCATCTTCTACAGCCTCTCTACCTTCCATGAATGCCGTCATTAACGCTTTATAACTTGTGTATATCTTTTCCCACTGTTCATATGATGAACTTGTGAATCTTGTGGTGGAAAATGTAACAGTCTCTAAAGCTTTAAGGCCAAGACGATTGGCCAAACCAATATATTCAACGTGACCTCTTCCTCTCTGGAACATTGTATGCATCTTGTTTGATCGCTTGATGAGACGTTTAAGAAACTCGGAAGAATCTGATTCTTCACGTAGATGAACCATGACAATATCCATCCAGTGCGAAACATCCCAGGGCAGAAGAAAGTATGGGTCAGGTTGATGATATGCTCCTAACAATTCCAAAAGTTTATCCTGAAATGTGTTGGCTTGGTATTGTCCATCTGCATGTACAGCTAGAATAAAACGCAACAAATATACAGCTCTTATTATCTTACAATAAGCATGTTATTATTAAGTATGTTACTATTAAATACTATATAATTATTGTATTCAAAACGAAATTGTTGCAAGATTACAAAACTGGTGAAGATTCATCCATGCCTCTTTTTGGAAGCAAGTATATTTTAAATTAAGGACTGTAATTACATGTACATTGCTAGGTACCTTATTCATTGTGGTCAGTTGTGCATAGATCTATATGTTAGTATAGATAAACTGTACCTCGAAGACGACTAAGGTCTTTTGCCGTAAGATGTAGTTTCTTGGTCAGAATGTCCACAACTTGTTCAGCTAGATCTTGGCCAGTTCCTCCAGTAATGCTCCCGTCTTCACTGCTTTCATAAACCAGGGGTGCATCAACAGGCATAGATATTCTAAACCCATCATATGGCATTATTACCATTATTGCCTGGTTAGTATCTCTATGTGGTATTGACTTATCAATCGCAACAGAGAAATGAGGTGGTAATCCAGTGCTTCTAAGTGGTTCACGCAAGTATGAAGAAGTTTGATCCAGTATGTAAATATATGCTGCCTTTACAATGTCAGAGAACTGGTTTCTAAAGAAAAATTAAAACTATAGATGTATATGTTTTATTTTATATGTTAGTATTACTAAGCATTAAATATATGTTACCTCCCATGGCCATAATTGCCAACTTCTGCTTGGCAAATACACAATAGAGCAATGATAGATTCAAAGTGAGATGCAGCAGCCTTCATCTTACACACTTCTATTCCGGCATTGACCAAATTTATCATGACGGCTTTGTTTCTGGCATTTCTACGTTCCACTTTAAACTTGTACTGTAAAGCACTCATATGAAACTGGCCTCCACCTCGAGTTGAACTGCAACACATGTGTTCACACAAAGTGCTTTTGAAACTGTACCACTCTTGGTTTGAGCCTTTTTGAAACAATTCCATCTTATCTTTCTTGTACACATGACCATGGCCCCAAGATCTGTTTGCAACTGATCTATAATTATCAATATTAAATGGTTCAGATAACCTACTATTAGCATTAAATTATTGTAAGAATGTAAGTGAAGTTCATGCCCAGAAAATTTTAGTATTTACATGTGTTGATGTTCTGCATGCATGTATGTTTAGTAATTCTGTAATAAGTGATTTTGTGGTTAGTTTGTTCTGTCCCTGTTATCTTCTCGAACTTTGTTGTTTGTGTTATACATATATACATGTTGTTGAAGATCACAAGAATAATACTACAAATTAATCCCAGTAAAAAGTTGTAGCAAATATTTCTATTTTTTTAAAGGTTTTTTTAATAAGGGCAGAGCATTTTAATTACTTACATTTTCATGTACGGATTTGCTTTGACAAATTCCATGCATGCCCTGCAAGTTATCTTACAACCATCATCCAGCAGTTCGATTTCCAGTTTATCAGAACTGATCAGCTCCATCATGTTATTTGCTGCCTTAATGTCATCTATTGATGCAGTTTCTTTTGTAGAGCCAGTATCATTTTTTGCCTTTCCAAGAGACAGTTCATCTAATTTTACCAGAATTTTATTGACATCATCCTGTATCTTTGTCAATGGTGACTCAAGTCCTGAATGTTCTGCAGATTCAGATGTTTGAAGAAAATCATTAACTGTTGTTTGAATAGTTTTTGTCATTGACGAAGCGTGTGTTTGAGATTGTTCAATTGGTGGAGTTTGAATAACTGGATTGTCTACCAAAGATATTGTTACATTAGAATCAGTATCAGTTAAGGCTTTTCTTGTGTCGGTATCATTCTTTTTCTCTGATTGAAGCTTCCTGGCATTAATATGATCCTGATGAACAATCATTTGGTCAAAATTTTCTGGTCGCTCATTGGGATGTTTTGACTGCCAATGTCGCTTTTTGAAATAATTTGAACCTCTTATCAGTATTGTACGACACACAAGACAAACATGTGGGTCAGATTGATCCCTCTTAATTTTTTTTCTGTTTTCCTCCTCACTAGTATTTTTTCGTTTAAAAATCTCCTTCCATTGCGCTGTTTCCTAAAATCAATATAATTATTACATTCCATAACATAAGGCATAAGTCATTAACTTATTAAGATATTAATTCTGTCATTTCCACTTATCAGTAGAAAATTTGAGAACTGTTTTATAATAACATGTTTATAGCGCTTTTCAGTGCATAAAGAAGCTCATTAAATCGTAGTTTGTAAACTGTCGTTTATAGAAAAAATCACAAATAAGTAAAATAACATGAATTAATAAATATTATTATGTTGGTAGTTGTGTTTATTTTGATTATTTCATTGTTTCTAAACGTTATGTCCATTTGCAACAGAGTACAGTTAAAAAAGACGTTAAAAAAACATGAAACTGATTTCTATTTGGATACAGGATACGTAAAATGTCTACATTATATTGCACTTACCTCTGACATATTTCATTAATATGACTAATTTGCAATTCATGAACAAAAATTTAAAGTATATTTCAAAATCGCCATGATTATTAATGAGCACATGGTTAACAACTTAATTCGTTCCACTCCACACAAACTTGCTGGCCGCGCGTGTGATATTTTAACATTTTTTAGTAATCGTTTAAGATACTTAGATGCCTCATGCCTTGTTCATATTGAAACATTTTTTTTAAACAAGGAAGGGAAGCTCGGCTACTTTGATTATTAAACATCCTTTTTATAAATATGCACACTTCATTTGTGTCTGCACACTTGCACACTTGACTTTTTCATTTGCACACCCGAGATCTCGGCGAAAAAAGGCACACTCTGCAGTCTGGAGTATAAATATATTTATTTGTTGACATCTCAATCATTGAGGATATTTATGCGAAATTATTTCTTCATTCATGATTCTTCGGCGCCTCGCATTCTTGATTTATTGGGTTATAAATACTTGTCTTAAGTTGAGTGAACTGACTATTATATAGTTTTATGTACTTTATCTACCATTATTAACAAAAACTAATTAAATTACTGCATTTGTCAATAACTGGCATTTATTTTGTTT